CACCCAACAGCCTCCTCAGCGAGTGTCCAATCCATCTCCACTTTCTCCTGCATATTTGTTGGGCGATTAGTTCTTGTTTTGTTTGTTCCCATAGTTTCTTGTTGGTAATTCTTTCCGGCCGGCCATCTGATCTTCAGTATAGAGCGAAAACAGTTAGTTGTTGATAAAGGTCTGCAACAGGCTGTTGGAAATATTCTTTGTGACCCTCCGCCAAGTTTCTGATCCGTATAGAAGAACTGACTGACTTGACGTTTGTATTGAAAATTCGAATTTTGTTGTTGATGCTGAGTGACGAAGAACTCCAGATTGGTTTCAGGTTGATGAATGTGTTTCTCGCCTTCCAGATTTTCGATTTGACATCCTCGTCCGTTGCTCCTGTAGTTGAGACAATGCTCCCTAGATAAGTGAATGAAGTAACCTCTTCCAAATCCCTCCCGTTGATGGTGATTGGGGGTGGATGTTGCTGTTGCTGTTGTTGTTGTTGTTGGTTGGTTGGTTATTTTCATAACCTCCGTCTTGTTTATGTTCACCTGGAGTCCTGTGTTTGCTGCTTCTTCGACCAGTTTGTCGGCTTTCGCTTGCAAGTCTTCGATTTTGTATGACATCAAACATAAATCATCCACGAAATCCAGGTCTTTATTAGAAGGCAGAATGAAGTAATTTTAGGAATTAAAACATTACTGTCTTAACCAAAACAATTTTATGATGTACTTTGATTGGACACTAGTTATTAACTACTGTCTGACTGCTTTCAACGTAAAACTTTGCACAGATCTACAACCGTTCCACTTGCCACACTCCTTCCTTGTACCATACAAAGCAAGAGGAGAGAGTAAAGAGAGAGATAATAAACAGAAGTTTGAGTGAGGGAAAAGCATTCGATATTATAAATCACAAAGAGTGAATGCATCTGCGCCAGCCATTGACAACGACGATTTCGAGCCATATTACCAATTGTCTCCAGCTACCGTTGGTTCTTACCATCCCGAGGACCCCAACCAGCCAGCCAGGTAGTCTACAACATCGCCTGACGTCACTGGCTGGCTGGCTTAAACTAACTCTCTTTTGGATTTCATTGACTGATGAAACCACGTTTTGGTTTGACCACCACTAGCTAACTAACTCTTTTTGAACCTCATCGATCCTATTGATATAAGTATAAAACTTGGGCACTGTGGTAGAGTATAACTCCATTATAGATAAGATTTTATTTTGATAAATCACACAGTGTTGTACAGTAATATTAACTGATGACATTTCGAGAACAAACCATTGCTCGTAATCATATCAAGTCACTCACACAACTTCTTACTTCATTTATATACATGAGTAAAATTAATTAGACATCAACTCGTAAAAACAAAACTAACCCTTACAAAACAAACTATAGAAAATTAATCTGATGCTCGTTAGTGACTTCCTACAGGATGGAGTTTCCTGGAGTTCTAGTGAGAAGCCATGACCACTGAGGTCCATCCAGTCAAGTGTGAGGATGGATTTCCCACCGACGACATTGGTTGGGGTCGCGCTAGATCACGAATTGGTAGGAGTTAGAATTCATGAACTGGCCATTGAATCGGGTCCCAGTGGCTGAATGGTATACGAGCTTGCCTTGTAACCGGAAGGTCCTGGGTTCGAACCCTTCAGTGTGGTGCGTACTGCCGATGATTCCCAAACTAGGCTGATGAAACAGCTGTCCAGTAATCTCAGCTGGTTTTCAATGGTTCTCTAACTGATATCAATCCATCATCAACTCGTAAAAACAAAACTAATCCTTACAAACCAACTATAGAAAATTTGAATAAAAATCAATATAAGATAATGTACATTCAGAAATAATAATATGAGTGTTATCAATCAAATACAATCAGATGGGAAATAAGATGTTTTTATAGTCAAAATAAGTAACTTGTTAGAATGTTATGATGTACGTGAATTGAAATAGAATTTTAAGATTATTTATTATCCTCCTCTGATTTGACTGACTGGTGGTAATAATATCTTCCATATCTCTGGTATTTGCATTGAGTCATTTCTGTTGCATGTGTTGGGTGTAGATTATTCGATGAACTAGGATTCAGTAATCAACCTCTCTCTCCACCTACTTATATTACTTCTTAGAATTTTAACCCTCTCCCATCCCCATATTGTGTGTTTGTGCATGCATGCAGTGCAATCGCTGAACCTTTTTCTAAATTACTTATCTTCACGGGGTCAATCATTCTAACCTTAGTTAAATTCTTATATTCTGACAACCTGACTAATACCCGTCCGATCTACTAGTTTGACCTATGTAGTTGACTCAACTCACAGTCATTGCAAGGTATTTTGTAAATAATATTATTTTGTTTTATTAGGTCCACCGGGTCTTTTAGCCTACAGAGCTTGTTACTGCGTGAGTTTGTAGGTTAGAATGCCACACTAATTCTGCTTTATTAAGAATCCTACGTAGGGAGGGCCTCAGATGTCCCCTCCTCCTTATATGGCATAACAGTAGATGCCTTATCATCCATCCTATATCAGTCAGCTAACAATCCCCGTCATCGAGGAAGCCTAGGCTAACTAGTGTCCAATCAAAATATCCAATACAGTCCCACAGGAGATGGTCAATCACAAGACCGAATAGCTGCTGTCAGTGTTAACATCTCTGCCCGACTGCAAGCGGCAGCACTGAATGCTGACGCCAGTTTCGAATCTCAAAAGAGACATGAGTTGTTGGTGATGGCAGTGGTGGTGATAAGTGTCAACTAGGCCGAAACCTATCTGGATCCCGGTAAGACTTCCCTGTCAATCGCATTCTCTTCAACCATCTAATTTTATAACATCTCAATAAAACCATAAAATAAGTCACACTCTTAATATATGTGTAAAACTTGGGCACTGTGGTAGTAAAATTCCACATTAGTCTGTTTATTAGATGTATCACACAGTGAGTGAAACAGTATTATTTACTGGATGACGTTTCGAACACTCGAAATCTAGACTAACAAATTCTTATGAACTAAAACATAGATTAGATAATTTAAAATTAGATAATGAAGAAAAAATGGTTAGTTTTGACATTGTCAGTTTATATACACGTATACCTATAAATATGGCTATAGAGGCAGTCAGAAACGAATTCATTTCTGACCAAGAACTTGAACTTAGAACAAAAGTGCCACTAGAAGACATAATACCTAGGAGTGAGGTTGTGCCTGACTTCCACAGTATTTAAATTTCAAGGGAAAATATACAAACAAACTAAAGGAGTTTCCATTGGGTCGCTAATATCCCCAAATGTCGCAGATGTATTCATGGAGACGTGGGAAAACTTAGTGATTGAAATGTTCAGCCCCACACTAAAAGTATGGTGGAGGTATGTAGATAACATATTCACCGTATTTAGAACACAGGACATAAATAGATTTTTCGAACACATCAACTCAAAGGTGGAGGCAATTCAATTCACTTATGAATTGGAAAGTCAGGAAGGGGAGCTTCCAATGTTAGATTGCAGCGTAAAAAGGAAAGAAGATGGGAAGTTAAACACACTAGTGTTTACAGGAAACCCACACATTCAAACAGATATTTGGATTGATGAAATGTTTAAGTGACAGAGCACAAAAACTAAGTAGTATCAAGGAAAATCTAAGACAGGAAGTGAAGCATATAAGAGAAGCCTTGAAGCTTAATAATTATCCTGATAAATTAGTCAGGAAATATGTAGAGAAATGTAAAAATAAAATAAATAATGATAGTAGTGATAGTGATAATAATAATAATGACGACATGCAAGTCAAATATGCGCAAGACAACACCAACAATAAGGAATCTAAATCATCAGTAGTAATTCCATACAAGGAAGGAACCTCGGAAACCACCTGACGCAGAATTCTTAACAAGGCAGGAATAAAAGTGGCTGGCATTCAAACCACCCACAAACTCAATTAGAAACAAGCTTTGTCGGTTAAAGGATCCTGTAGAGCCTTTAAAACAAAACAATTTAGTTTATCTAATACCCTGTAATGATTGTCAGGTCAAATACATACGTCAAACTAGTAGAACAGGGGCAGTCAGACTAGCCGAACATAAAAACCTAGCAAAATCTAGATTGGTTGACCCAAAATAAGATAAGAAATCTAGAGAATAGTTCAGCTATAGCACTACACCACATGCAATTACACACAACCATACAATAGGATGGGATAAGATGACAGTTTTAAAATCTAATGTAACCGGGTGGAGGGAGAGATTGATAACAGAAGCTTTGTTTATCGAATCAACTGATAGGGAATACGTGTAATAGGAATGATTCAACACCTGTCCAGTCGAAAAACTGGAAAATTCTACTACCCCAACGACGACAAATAGGAGAGAACTAAGAAAATCGTGATTATAATTGATGAAATGATCATGAACGGTAAATAAATTTTGTTCGAAACTGTGTCACCGAGTAAATACAAATACTTGCTTCACTGACTGACTGTGTGATACACCTAATAAACAAACTAATATGGAAGTCACACTCTTCCCAAAACAAAACAAAAAGACGTACAATGATGTTTTTTTTAATTCTCTAAAAAGAGTTAAACAACAGAGTTGTATTATTACAGCATTCAATCAAACAAACAGAAATAAATGTATTTGAAATCTACACACTAGTTCATGGTAATGTGAGAAACACAATGAAAAAAAAGAGTGATGAATTTGATAATACAGCGCACTCAGCAGATTTGTCACAGTAAAGTACAGTACAGTAAGAAAAATAATTGCATAAAAGGGAAAAAAGACTTGTAATTATCACTATTATCACTATCATTATTTACAGTCATTGAATAGTACAAAAATGTAATTGTAATTAATTGTCAAACTTATTATTGATTTATTAAAGTACAAGATATATTGATGAATCGACTAGACATCTATCTCTACAGCTGCTAAATATAGATAAATATTGATTGGTTACCGTTTAAGGCCACTTACGGTGTTTTTATACATAGATCGATCGGTTTAGATATAGCTGGCTGACGAAGGCAAAAAAAATCAGACTCATCTATCCGAAGGAGGCAAAAAATAACCGTGAAATGTATTCACTGCAAGAAATTAGCAACAAAAAAAATAAAATAACAATCATGAGAAGAAAAGATTGGTTAGAGAGAGAGGAAACAACCAACATGTTGTCCTAAGTGTACTATTTACATTCACAGAAAAAATGGAAGACAGTGGGCAAAAAAACACCTTCTTCAACTTCTTCTAAAATATAGCCTACTGATTTGATGATAACTGTGGAGATATGGATGCAGCAGCGGCAGCGGCAGTAGCAGCAGCAGTCGCACGTGAAGGTGAAATAGTACCGAATCCAAACCATTTCCATGTAGACAATTGTGAGGCATGACTATTATTATTATTGTTATTATTCTTGACTCGATCTTTCTGTTGCTGCTGTTGTTGTTCTGCAGCTTTAATACGCGCTTTTTCTAGCTTAGCTAATCGTTTCTGTTGAGAGATTTCAGCTTTTTTCGCTTTGAAATTTGAAAATGATTTAAATATTGAGGGGAGTTTATTAGATGATGGTGACGCTGAGGCTGTAGACGTTTTCACCGCTGGTGAACGAGGTAATGTTGTAACAGCATTTGTTAATAATTGACTCTGTCTAACTGTTTTACGCCGAAGTGTTGATTCTGGGGATGAACAAGAATCTGGTGAGGATGGAGCATGAAAGAAATTCAATGGCTCACCACCACCACCTAGTGTGGAGAGAAAAGAAAATAAAGAGAAACAAATCATGAATATGATTCAGTAATATGTATATTAGAACAAGACATATAAGCGAACAATATTGTTTTCAATTAGATCTTCTTCAGGCTTTACTCTAATCTACATAGATTTAAATATACAAATTTTTAACCAGTGACGGTGATTTTGTGGATCAAATAATAATAAAAATGTGGTAAATGTTTTGAACGTCAGTAATAACGAGGATTATAATGATAACAAAATAGTGATAATAAGGTTTACGCAGGTGGCGATAAGAATAACAAAGGTAGTAATATGTGTATATGTAGACAATTCAATAAATACATTAAGTCAAACTTTAGAAGTTATGTAATACTAAAGGTGAAGTGGACAGATGATCACACTTCAAATAAATATCAAAAAATACAAGGAAATGAATAAGAAAGGTTGGGAGGTTCTTATTAGACTTTACCTAGTGGGAGAGACAAAGGTTGTAAGCAAAGACTAGGATTTTTCTCTCGAATTAATTCCCGTAGCTTCAGCTATGTGTAAAAGGTGGGTTCGAATTCTGTGCGAAAGACTCGATGGAATGCGATAACTTTGAAGGCACTACTTTTGTCCACTTGGTGACCGCTATCAATCAAATGAGTCAAAATAGAACTTCTTATAGATTTTATTTGACCTTTTCCAAGCCATGGAGGAAGATGCTCATTAATGTGTTTGTTAAGCTGTCTAGTTGTTCGCTCTATACAGCTTTCTCCACAGGAGCAACTAAATTTATAGATACACATAAAAGAGGTACAGCTAGGTAGCTTATCTTTCACTTGAGCAATCAAAATTGGTCGGCTGGAAAATGACAAACAAAGGGTGGCGGTAGTATAAGTCCGTTTTACCGCTCTCGATAATCTCAGATGTAAGACTTCACTAGCCACGTCCCTATTAAATTGCAGTTTCATGAACAGTTGTTTCTTTTCAACTGTTGTCAGTTTTTCTTTGTTGTACCTGGTATTCATGTGTCTCCTAACAAATCTACTAGGATAACCCATTTAGACCAGTGTATTTTAGATGTATCCTAACTCATTTTCTAGGGAGTCCTCTGTACAAATACGTCTTGCTCTATTCGTAAGGCATCTGACCAAACTGATTTTATATCGGATTGGTACAAAACTGAGGAAATGTGTATATTGTCCTACAGAAGTAGGTTTTCTATATACACATCTCTCTTGAGTGAACCATCCTCTCTCCTGCTCAATTGGACGTCAAGGAAATGTAGTCTACCATCATGTTCTTCTTCACAAGTGAAGATGAGCGATGGATGTGCATCACTACACTTTTTTTAACATTTCATTCTTGTCAGTTTTCACATCAAGAATAATGAACGTATCATCAACATAACGAAAATAAGAATCAGTTTTCTCTATTACTTGTCTCAATGGACCATTTTGTTATCATTATAATCATCGTTATTAATTTCGTTCAAAACATTTACCATATTATTGTTATTATTATTATTATTTGATTCCCAAAATCACCGTCATTGGTTAAAGTTTTTATATATAAATCTATGTAAATTAGAGTAAAGCCTGAAGAGGATCTAATTGAAAACAACATTGTTCGCTTATATGTCTTGTTCTAATATTAATAGTGGGAATATTTAATAATATGTATATTATCTATCCCGCGGTGTAAAAAGTAAATATTCATGTGTAGCTGAATTAAAATTACAATAAATAATAGTTGATTTGTAAGGATTAAATTTGTTTTTTTTTTTCGAGTCTGACCACGGATTGATATCAGTTAGAGAACCATTGAAAACCAGCGCTGGAGTACTGGACAGCTAGCTGTTTCATCCTAGTTTTTTGGGAATCATCGGCAGTACGCACCCACACTGCCGGGTTCGAACCTTAGACCTCCCGGTTACAAGGCTAGCGAGCTCGTATACCATTCAGCCACTGGGACCCACTCGACTCAATGGCCAGTCCATGAATTCGAACTTCACGGTTCGAACCTTGGCGGTGGGTGCGTACTGCCGATGATTCTCAAAAAAACTGGGATGAAACAGCTGGCTGTCCAGTACTCCAGCGCTGGTTTTCAATGCTTCTCTAACTGATATCAATCCGTGATCAACTCGTGAATTAAATTAATTAGAATAAATGAGATAATGTACTGTGAAAATCAAACGTATTGCTATTTGAAGTAGTGCGCCGCACTCCTGGAGTTCATAAAAAAGGATGTGAAACAGTGTTATCACCCTGATGTGCTAAAGCAAGCATTAATGCTTCAGAAAAAAGAACAAAAACCCAAAAACCATTAGAGGAATCAGTAATCATGCTTCGTGTTCGCTAGTGCATTAAGACAAATTGATATTAAAAAAAATATAGAATAATAATTTAACATTTGTGACAGATTTCAAGTGGCTTCATTAAAATAAACTTCGTCAGTTGACTGATGACTAGGTGTGCTGAGATGAAGGAATTACGTCCAGACGGGGTGAGTCAACATGTAACACAAACTTAATAAAAATCAATAAACACATCATTCACGAAGTATGAAACCCTAAAGGATTTACACTCTTTTTTATTCCTTTACGTTCCCAGTGGAACATAGGTTGGCTTCAAGCTAGAGGCTTGAAGTTTCGGTAGCAGTGGTGTTTATTTTTACGGGATGGGGTTGTTGCTAGCCTCATGTACCCAACCTTCCCTCTTTACCAGTCTTATTACTGACTTAGCGAGGTAAAGGAGGAGTGCGTCTGTGGCCGGGGATCGAACCCCGGACCATATGCGTGGTCGGCGAGTATTCTACCGCTGTGCCACCGACGCATTTACACTAATTAGCAATAAAAGGAAGTATAGTAAGTTTACACTTTGAATGTCATAACAAATACAGAATTTCGATAGAGAAAGAAAGACCAGATTTGCAGTATAAAATGATATCATTCTATTTCACAGGTTCTCATCAGCTGCACACCACTACCTGAAATTACAATGGTTATAAATAATAACATTTCATACTTCAATGTTTTGCGTCGGTGGCATAGCGGTTAAGACGCTCGCCGACCATGCACATGGTCCGGGGTTCGATCCCCGGCCGACGCATTCCTTTACCTCGCTAATCCAGAAATAACGCTGGTGAAGAGGAAAGGTTGGGCATGAGGCTAGCAACCCCATCCTGTAAAATAAGCACTGCTACAGAAACTTCAAGCCACTAGCTTGAAGCCCTATGTTCCACTGGGGAACGTAAAGGAAATAAAAAAATTAAAAAGAAAGGTAATAAGAGAAAACATTATAAGATGAACGCATTCGGAATATAAGTATTACAATTTATAGTTTAAGTTACCATCAATTTATGTACTATCAAACTATGAAAAAAGGAAAAGGGGGTGGGGTGAGAGAAGAGAGAAAAATCGAATAAACAGTGTCAACATGGCAACTCAAGAAGGTCAAAGTTCATCAATTTGAAAACTTGCTTAGTGAGTTGAGCCCACTAGTGTGTATGACTAATCAGTGTAATGAAAGTAATACGGTTACCAAGGGAGTGAGAGATTCACTACACTCTCTTTTTCTGTGTGCATAAGTTTGGTCTGAGACGTTTGATTGCAATTGCTTCAGCATATCGTAGTAGATTCGCTGTCCTTTGTATGTTTAATATTTTGAAGGATTTGGAAATCTCGACAAAATGACCCGTATTCACAAGGTGTCTGGTAATTGCACTTTGTAAATTCAGGTAGTTTGCAGCTGATGAGGACCTGTGAAATAGAATGATGATCATTTTATACTGCAAATTTGGTCTTTCTTTCTCTATCGAAATTTATCAAGGGAACCAAATGTATGAAAATACAGAATTCTATTTCCAAGAGTTGATTTGTAGGGATTTATTTCTTTTTCAAGTGTGACGACGGATTGATATCAATTAGAGAACCATTGAAAAACTACCTGGGAGTATTGGATAGCCAGCTGTTTCGTCAGCCTAGTTTGGAACTGACTCTTCATCAGTACACACCCACTGATAGGGTTCGGATCCAGGACCTTCCAGTTACAAGGCTAGCGAGCTTGTAAACCATTCAGCCACTGGGACCCGACTCCTCATCAAGGACCAGTCCATGAATTCTAACTTCTACCAATTCGTGATCTTAGCCAATGTCATCCATGGCGAGTATTTGTCTTCACTGCCAACAAGATGGACCCCACTGGTCACGACTTCTCAATATAAAACTCCAAGAAACTCCGTCCTATAGCCAGTTACTAGAGAGCATACTGTTGATGAGTCCCAAACTAGGCTGACGAAACAGCTGACTGTCCAGTACTCCAGTGCTGGTTTTCAATGGTTCTCTAGCTGATATCAATCCATGGTCAAACTTGAATTCATATTTGCTAATCTGTGTACCTGTGGCTATTTACAAGTCGGTGACAAAACCACGTTGAAAGCACCGGTTCTCGTCCGATCACCGAAGTTAAGCAATGTGCGTCGATGGTACAACGGTTAGGATGCTCGCCGACCATGCACATGGTCCGGGGTTCGATCCCCGGCCACAGACGCACTCCTTTACCTCAATAAGCCAGAAATAAAAAGCTGGTGAAGAGGAAAGGTTGGGCATGAGGCTAGCAACCCCATCCTGTAAAATAAACAGTGCTACAGAAACTTCAAGACTCTAGCTTGAAGCCCTATGTTCCACTGGGAAACGTGAAGGAATTTTTAAAAAATATTACAGAACACAATCTCTAAGCAAACACGTATTCGCGGTCATTTCTCATCAGGCTTTACAATTAGATAATAAAAATATCCTGGCCATCATTTTTATGAGTTCCAATGTCGATAATTCAGTAGCTGTATCTCCTTTGAACGACGATTTATATGCATATACGTTTCTTCTTCTGTACCATTTGCGGAAATTTCTCCCTACCTTGTTGTCATCATGGAAACATTCACAAAATTTTAGGGATATCCATTCGTCCCATGGGATGCGAACGCACGGGTGACCTTCAGATGACCGATCATACAAACAAGTGACTTT